ACAGGGAAAAATTTCAAAAAAACATTAGTGAATTTTAAGGAAACATCATGTTTTTTCTTGAAATACCATTTACAAATTTTGACATTAATGGTATCTTCTCCTATCTTCTACTTTTAACATTCTTAATAATTAACCACTAATGTTAATTCTGCAAATACCATCATGTGTAATAGGGAGAAACCATTCTTGTATTTGAAAATCCACAATTAAAATGAAAACGAAAACACATTCACTGAATTCATTGAAAACCCAAACATGGGTGTTACCAAAAAAACATTAATGGCACTTTCAATTTATTCTCACCAATTAACCATTCATGGGTTTTTTAATACCATTCACAGAAATACTGAAAAAACCATTCCTGGAAATTTAGAACACATTACTGTAAATTAACATTCCACAAAAACCCATCATGTAATTTGTGCAATAACCATTTATGGTTCTCTGGACCTGCTCTCACAAATTTACCATTCACAGGAAACTCCCAAAAAACATTCATGGCACATCAGCTGTAAATTTAAAGCCTTAACATGCCATTTTGTATAATTACCATTACCTTTATTTCTTCTTTATCATCAGTCAAAAATCATTGTATCATTATGGATTTTTGAACACCATTTGAATAAGAAAGAAAAATAGGCTGGTACTATGATTATTAAACTTACATGAAAACTCCATGTATGGATATGATAGGTACAATGCAGTACTTACAGTGTTTGTAAACTATGCTTGCTAAGTTGTAAAGTCTATAAATCTAAAAAATTAATGCCCCTCAATCACTAAAAACCATGTGTGAGAATTTAAAACACGTAATTACTGTGAACTATCTAATAGCTCATTTCAAAATAATGTTAAACACTGAGAACTATTGGAAATACCTTTCTCATCAAAAAAGAACTCACTATACTCAGTCATGTATTATGGGAAAAGAGATACATTAACTACAGTACTCTTATGTAGCATATTTCAAACTGCTTTCCGTTTTGAAAATTATTCCACTCTAATTTGAGTTATTTGGAGAAGGAGCCTTCTCATTAACTACTTGCTGCATTGAGAAAAAAAAAAACTTTATGCGTAAGCAAATCTGCAAGTTTACAATGTAATCATTCCATTTCCCAAGCACCCCCTCTCCATTCACCACTTGCTAGGCACATAACACAGTCCCATGAGACAAAATCCTGTGCTTGTCGTGTATTGCGAGATGGTACATACAGGTTTTCACCTGGTCTTTCAACGTCTTCTACATAGTACCAAACTTTCACAGTTTTTTGCTTTCTTGGATGGTCAACACCTTTGCCAACCAAGGACTGGGGTCATCTCCTTTAATGAAAATCATGTCGTTAACTTGTGGGAAGAAAGGCACAAGAATATCAAGATGTGAAATTGGTAGGTTTTCCCGTTGGAAGTCTACTACTATCCTTCTATCAGGATGTTCATCATCAGCTGAATTGTAGAGAATAATTTTTCTTAAAATGGCTTTGACAGGAACGAGGAGGTCTTGTACATTTGCATTGTCAATCACCAAGCCTCCACTGTAAGGATCAGAAACAGGATCACCATCCTCATCGACTTCCTGAGTGAATTTCTTGACCTTCACAAACTTAGAGAACTCTCCCGCAGAATTAAGGCACAAGAAATTTGTTATTTGGCAAAAATATTCATGAGCACCAACTTCACACACAATATGTTCTCCACTTCGGTACAGCATGCCTTTTGAAGTTTGAACAGGCCTCCAGAAGCTTCGGAAAGAGAAGGCAATATCTGGTAGAACAAAAAGCGAAGTTGAATCTAATGAATTACTATTAATCAAGTCAAGATCTTCCTGTGAAAACTGTACTTCATTGAAGAGCATCCCACCAACAAAAACTCCCTCCTTGTAGCTATTTTCTAACAAAGGCATCGTTGTCAACATTTTCTCGATATATTTGGCACCTTCCAAGGATTTGGCACACATCTGAAAAAAAAAAACAATAACAGCAATTAAAGAACAAAAAATTTAACAGAATCTGATTATGGTGTAAAACAAAGTGCAAAAAGTCTGCTGTAGATAAGGCTTGATGGTTCAGTTTTAAGAGTATTAAAGAGCTGATAAGTGGATAGGTACACATGCACATTCTATTTTCGGTTCTCATTAAGTGCCAGCCTCCGGCTAAATAACCAGATTCTTTGATTTTTGAGCTGCCTACTTCACATGAAATAATATGCATATAAGTTATTGTGAACAGTAACGAATGCATGTATATAATTGCCTTTTCAAGATCAAACTTGAAGTTAGTTTCTTCTTGGGGCTGGATACGACCTCTCAACAGTTTAAGAAGTTCTCTATAGCCTTCCCGTTTGGCAAAGGAACACTCCATATTCTTGAAGTTACTTGAAATGCTGACATATCGTTTCACAGCACGTTCATATGGGAAACACCAGTAATTGTCTGGATGAGAGAACTGATAGGCATCCTCAGCAATATGCTGCAGGTTGTGGACTGTTATCCTACAATCAGTCAAGCCTCGATGTTCCTCATTAAGGATGATGTAACGCTTTGCCAAATTCTGGAACAAGAGACGATCATCAAGGGACCAACCATTTCGTTTGTTGAAGATAAGCTCTGTCATTCTTGCAGTTAGCTGCCACAAATGATATTCCATTGGCTCAAGTAAGCCAGCTAGCAACAATTCCGACACAGGATAAGAAAACTTTTGAAATTCCTCAGTTTTCCAGTAACCTAGCCGGGAAGACAACCCCTGAGGAATGCGCCCATCTTTCAGTTCTAAACACAAAAAGGCAAGAGGACATGCACATTAAACTCCCCTATCAAAAAGTAAACCCACTACATCTGTAAGAGTGTTAAAAGTGGACATCTTGACTTGATAAAGGTTATAACATGACAATAATCATGAAAAAAATAAATAAATAATAATAATAATAAAAACAGCAAGGTTGATTATAAATGTACATGTACTTGCTTTAACTGCTTTAAGTGTTACATGCATAGTGACTACATATCTGTCAATTTAGAGGCTAAACAAACAAGACAGATAGAAATCCACTAATCAGACCACTAGCATGGACTTTAGAGCCTCTGCATGTGGTGTGGTTTATTTCAAAATAATAACAGGTCAAGACAGATGTAGAAAGATGGCCATACGGGTAGCCACTATGCATGTCATACTGAAAGCAGCTACTGTATGATAAACAGGGTGCACTGCACAATAATAACAGAAATTGAACTTGAGATTTTTCTCTGGTTCCCATGAGAAATAGTCTTTGGTGTTATTACAGATAATTAATTATATCTATAGCACTTGAAAATGTAAAAAAGAATGCAATATTGTTTAAACTGTTCCGGTACAAGGTTTTTGTCCACTGAAAGTTGAAATTACTCAATTTCTTGAGGATTCTGTCCTAACACAGTTCACAGATATCAATTCATTCTTTCCCACACAATATCAAGGACAAAAAATGGATACAATTATTTTTAGCATGATTCTTCTTAATTTTATGTGAAATTCCACATTAAGAACAAAACATTCTGCCCAGGAGTGAATAGCACTCTTTGTAGCCAACTACAGCATGAGTCGTTTATCAAGTGTTAATCACTGTGGCTGCATTTATCAAAATTGTGAAAGTGAGTGGCTATATGATAACATACTATCCTCCTTATTCAATCAGTCCATAATTCTTTTTGTAGTAGCATCAATGTAGAAAATACCTGCTGTCCAAGGAAAGTTTGAAAGTCGCTCATCTGCTTCCTTGACATCACGTTTTCCTTCAGCAATTAACTGTTTGAGGCTACATCCAACAATGTTTAATGGAAGGTTGTGCATCACATCAAAGACTATGTCTCTGATTACATCAAAACCATACAAGCTGTTAAGGCGATGCAGGATGCTTAACCCTGTGTAACCGGTGTCTCTGCTCAATCTTTCACGAACAGTTCGGCGGTCTTCAGCATCAATCTCTTTCATTTTAGCAACTTCTGTCTCAAGTTTTCCGACTCTCTGGGGGGAATCTAGCAGCAAAACGGTTTTGTCCATATTAGTAGGTTGTCCCAGTACCACTTGGGTTAATAGTACCTGTTACATGTACACATGTCCCAGTAAAAAAAAATCCTTAATATAAAAGCTTATTAAATGACAGTGTGCTATGGTTTTATAACACACTTGAATTTTATCACTCCATTGATGTTTCATTTGTCCACATCTGCAGTTGATCACCTTTGTGTTTAAAAAGATCTAATTTCAGTAATATTAATGTGTGGACATCTAAAGTGTCAGCCAACATTCACGACAATGCCAGTGACTCAACAACCCAAAAAAATATCTCATGACCTGGATAAGTGGTAATCTTTTGAGAATTAACAGATTAATATGTCATAATCTTCCTGCTCACCTTTAATTTTGTCTCTTCTGCATGCTAGTATTCCCCCATTGATAAACTTTCCAACCTCACTTTGGGCTGGATAGTCACCAGTCCAAAGAAGAAGCAAAATGCGTACATTAATATCACTTGAAAGCAGATTCAACTCAGGGAAATTGCCAGCATAGTACACCATATAACCTGTTGACAGACAATAAAAGGTTGATTGAATGTGAATGTATCAATCTCAGGGCATAGCTATTTTTTCCAGTGAAAGGCTTTTCAAATAGCGTCATTTACTGAACACAAAAATTCATGTACAGTACTAACACTAAAAAGAATATTTCTAACATTATTTCCACTGAAAATGTTTTTTATAAGATAGTAATAATTATTTAATGCCCGAAGGGGAAGGGGGCAGGGGATAGGGTAAGAGGAGACCTGGAAGTCCTTAAAACAGAAAGAAAATCCAACAACTACAACAATAGCCAAACAAATGCTGTTTCTGCACTATGTAGAGGCTTCTCCTACATGTATGATTGCTTCCAAAATGCACTTTATGTTCTTTTGTTTATAAATTAAAGGAGGGCCTTACCATCAATAAAGATGTTCTCAATCTCAGAGACAAGAGGCTCAAGAAAAGGATC